GAAAAATACTAACCCCTATTCTCGTTGGATGCGAGCTAGTTGCAGTAGAAGGCGTGTAAACTATTGACTCACACCAGGCTCTTAGCGACTTAAGTCCGTGCAGAGGGGGCTTACTGTAGGATTCAGGAGCACTAAAAGTAGGAGGACTATATAACCGGTTGCCCGCCAAACATTCATATCCATTAGCATCTCCAGTGCTCTCAAGCTCCATTGCATTCTTGAGACAATGTACAAGAATTCTTTGGATGCACTCAGCTTTGCCGCTGTAGATAGATTTCCATCAAGGTTGAATGGTTGCGTCTACCACTGCACTACGTAGTGTGAGATAGCTCTCGTTCGCGAGTTAAGGCGCTCTCCACTTCTTATCAAACGACAATCCAGACTGCTCTGACCTTCCAGAAGGGCCATTGCTGTTGATATGGCTCTGGAAAGCTTGTTGCAAACACAAAGATGTGCATGTAGAGTTTAAGGCCTCGCACCTGCAGCAGCAGATATTATAGGCCATTTTATTATATTTCACTTCGCTCTTGCATGTGCTACGCGTGTTCAACCCAAGTGTCAGCTTGTATCAGGGGGAGGCCGACTCCCGATGGCAGTCAGTATGCGAGAAATCCACCGTAACGAGCAGACCCGCTAAGACATCCAGCTGCTTGCAGTCCGGCAACAGGATTTCACGGCCTATCGAGAGTGTAAAGATGTCCTTGGCATCCCCCAAACAGACAACGATAGCTTCAGAGAGGGTCAGTCCGGGATGACCGTATGTTCATCCATAAAGGGTTACCATGTACACCCGCGGATACACCTGTGGCGGCACATCCCGGAATGCTTAGTGTTGAAAAATTTACTACTGATGATACAGCTGCTTAACGGATGTATTTAGTAGCGTGTCTCCCTAACCTTTCTGTTGAGCTGGTCTCTGCATAAACCGGTGTCACGGCTTGATTGAAGGCTTGAAATGTAGCAAAGCATCAGAAAAAACTTCTGCCATGAATAGAGATGCCATTAAAGTGTTGTTTTTATTTAAGAACCCGCCAGGAAGCTCACTAATTTCCCTTCATCTTTCGAGTAGAACGCGAGGTACATCAACTCCAACCGGCTAAAATGTTTTTCGAGTTCTTGGCCATCCTCACGGTTGCCGTTCTTCTCTGGTCGGTAAAACTTCATCCGCGAATCCGTCAATATTTTATCCGCTAATGAAACATGGATCTCATCCATTTGTGAGCTACTTCGGTCGTACCTGTTGCAATGGCCTCTGTTGCCCCGAAAGGCGTTGACCACCCTCTACTTCCATCGCCCGAGGTGTTTTCTTCCCCACTGCTGCCAGCAAGAATCATATTACTGCATTGATTCGCTAAATCTGTAGCTTATGAGGGGAAACAAGACATCCTACAGCGTTCACAGCCAGTGCATGAGCGGAGAACAGCTCCTTGGAACCACGTGGTAAAAATGCCATGCACCATCCAGAGTCCCCATAGGGATATGCATGATTCTAGACTCAAAGCACACTTAATTGGAAGCCATCGATAGTCTCCTCAGGGACGATTTGCATTCCTCTGCCAGCGCGTTTCAGGGCTCCGATATGAGGGGAAAGGGAAAACTACGGTGCGCGTAGCTGCACCTTCCACAAACTCCGAGCATTCCCAGCTAGTTAGAGAAAACTTCGCGGATTTTTGCATTAGGCTCATAGTATCCTGCACGTAGTATTAATCTACGAACATACAAACTAATTAGTCACTTCTTTTCTTGTTCCTAGTCAATCGTAAGTGTAGCTGAAAGTGCCTACGGAATACTTAGCCCGCTGAAGGTTGCGCGAGGACCAAACAGCTTTTAAGTGGTGATCGTGCATAAATTCAGCTGCTTGCTTGCGGCATTAAATCATCTTTAGTGACAGACATCTTTGTTCTTCATCCTAGGTCTGACTTTTAGGTGCGGTGCAACCGGCTAGTGAACGTGAGAGCTGTAGCTTGGAGGCTTAAGGAAGCACCGGAACTCATAAAAAACGCATTTCCAGGAATATCTTGTCGTTGGTGGGGCTTTCGTTTGTGAAGGGACGTAGTAAGATAGTAGAAGGTCAAGCTGTCGTTGACGTGCGGCGCCTTTCGATGGTGCATTCGAGCCTGGTAGGGCCGTAATAACTATCCACAAGGCCCTTAATCACTCTCTGAAAGTCGCCAGTAGACTGTTTGTTCAGGAGTTTTCTTGTAATTCGACATGCTATCTCTAGATGGTGAGTTTTTCTGCTAGAAAATTGTTCCTCTCTTGAGCAAATACCCTTAACTACCAGTAGGATTGTGTGCAGCCCTAAAACTCAGTCAATTATATATTGCTGGGCAATAACCATCACAATGGTCCTTAGAAGCTCCGTTGGGCCTACCTAATCCTTGTTCCTACCGCAGTAGCAATAGAAAGCAGTCCTTGGCAGGCGCGGAGCCCCAACGCCAACTTGTGTTCTGTAGAGCTGAAATTGATTTTCCGCGGCTGAGCCCGAAATCCCCTTACAATGCCCTTACACAAGGGTAGGGTATGCTGAAATGAAGATAGGTACAGTTATTAAAGAATTCGAAGGCAGCCCAGCATGATCTCATCTTTCTAAGCGCCAAACTTGTCCACTGATATTTTAGAAACCTTAGCTTCAGTCTAGAAAATGCGGGAGATGTAGAAATTCTGCTATCTGGCTTCCCTATCTCTATTCCCAGGCTCGTGGGCACCCCTCTGGTGACCATAGCGAACTACCCTAGAACTTTGCCAGTTCTTCTTTCTCTTAGCTCACTGCATGATTGTCCGCACAGTGCAAAGGAGAAGGTGTACATCGCATTACAGAATGTCTTTCAAACACATGAAAACGGAAATTGTCAAGGGCCTAGCTTGGGTCAGTCCCAGATGCACCATGAGTGGAGCCCAAGGAGAGTTGTCTCCCACAAAGCCCCCGCATCCGAATAAGCAATCATTGCTTCTAGTATCGGCTACTATCTCATGCTGCAAATGCTGAATATTGTTCATAGCCTTATTACACTAGAACATGCAACGCTTATAATCATAATATTTAGATCAACAGCCTGCACCCCAATCGGCTCTAATAAGCGAAGAATAGTACGCGGGTCATTTGTAAAGCCAAATTTAGTGTATTTTCTTACTACAGCTTGGTTTTTGGACACACCATCCCAAAGCCTCACACTGACTTCTCCTTGCGGAAATATAGGTAGGCAGAAAAGAGCCAAGTGCACGGCTAACTGCAAAGCTTACAGTAAAGCCGTAATTGTAGTGAATTTTCTTAACGACACGGGGATATATCCAAAAGCGTCCAAAACTTCGGGAGGGGAATCATGGAATAAAAGGCGGAACACGGGTTTTTGCCCATCACTGTTTTGGCCGCTGCACCGATCATGTTTTCAGCGCGCCTCAAAGCACACGATGGAGACTGTAGGCATGCTATTGCCATGCTTCCCCTTTTGTCTCCTCAGATAACCACAGTAGGACAGTGAGGAATCCGACGAACTACCCTAGGTTTCAGTTTGCGGCATTTTCGTCAGTATAGCTTGCATGTTCTCGAGTGTCTGCATTACTTGGCAGCATACCTTAAAACAGCACATAACGTGAACAAACGAGACTGTCGGACTGATAGCTCCTTAGAAAGCTTGTTGCAGCCAAGACACTTCGGTTCTGTTCCTAAAAATCCATATCCTGAAAGTCAGTTACTGCGCGGCCCAAGCCATTCGTAGGTAGGGCTGTTTGTCTTTGGCTTAGTAGTATGCGTAGTAATAGCATACACCGCAATCGGCTGTAATAAACACTGGAAAACACGAAAACGAGTATTTAATGCTGATACCTCTCACATTTCCTGGGTTTAGCCTAGTATCACTACTCGCTATCCCAAAGCCCTACAGTGCCCTCCCTCCCTAGGAATAAAATGAAGAGGCGGCTGGACGATTAAATATTGTGCAGCACCAAAGCGAAAGCTTACGCTGCGGTGTTTCTCATCTTAGAAGCCACGCTTTGCTGCCTTTCTGGTGATTAAAGGTCGGGTAATTCAGCGCTTTTTCCAGTGTAAATTGTTGTACGATTTGTTGGGTATACCAAATCCGATGCGGCTCTAGCAGTACGAAATATTGGCACACGTGTTAGATGCCATAGCCAGCCTCACATAAAGCTTGATATCTTTTCTAATATGGCATTGAATACAGATTATTCAACCCACTGCGGTAAAGCATTCCTATAGGTTACAGGGGTCAAGGGTCGTTGTCTGCCAACACAGGTGCAGTTGGTACTGTAATAGTCCACGCTCTACTCGGTACACCTAGCACCAAAATGTGTGCTGAAGAGCTCGGAACCTTTAAGATTTGTTGCCCGTTCTTCACGCCTAGCACTACGCCTTGTGGAATGCCCGCATATGTCTAAAAGTCATGGGACTGAGTGTCCAATCAGCCATAGCTGTTAGACCACAGTGGACCAAAGCGATTCTAAGTGGTATCTGGTCTGTTCCCACTGGACATTTCTTTCTCATGTGTTATGTGTTCTGCTCAAATTGCCCTCAGTGCACTGCTTTCTCAAGCTCAATTTGAAAGAAACCATAAAACACCAATCAGTACTTTACACTGAGATACGCGTAATTGCCGCAATTACACGAGTGCATTTGTGGAGCAATATTAAGACTACGCGTTCGTAACTATTTTTACTAGTCTGTATCACACTAGATCTGGAGCCGGCACTGCGTGGGCCTACATATTGTCGGTGTATTGACGAGGTGGCGAGTATTCCATGTCGTACGTTGAGGCACTTCGATTCGTGCACAGTAGCATGTATTAGTTCCAGCAGTATGTTGAGCTGAGTGCTTGGCAGCTGCAACGTGCGACACGATGGCAGAGCTTCACGGCTAACTCGCCGTATGCATATGGACTCGTTTGCTCTATGCTAGAGAGAGACCCCGCGTCCCCTCGCCAATATCTTGTTTAGGGGCCCAGCCACAGTACAGCACACTTTTATACAACATTTCTCTTGGCGTTTCACGTACCAGAGCTTCGGAGTTCTGTTTGTCTTGCAAGCTCAGCACTGATTCTGTGGCTAGCTTGCTGGAGCTCTCGATATTCTTTTATGAGACCCAAATAGTCATCCAGTCCTCTCGTTGGCTTTTCAGTGCATGATGAGTCAGGAACTCTACGAATCATCCGCTGTACGCAACCATTAGCCACGCACATATCATAACGTAAATCCACTACATTACGTACCTTGGTGGCATCTCTACACGCCATTTTCTGAATTTGAATGGGCTATCAAATACTTGATACTGCACAAAAGTCATCTTGAAGCTGTTTCACAAATGGGTTTAGCATGTCGTACAATACTAGATTGGTCACCTGCGGGAGCCGGTCAGCATATGCTAGACCCGAGACTTGGTAGTCCATTCGTTGCCAGGGATGGCCAATAGTGTTGCCGTGCTCTCTAGGCTGCGGGCTGACACGGTTCCACTGATGCACTGTGGCGGCGCCAAAGCTATGGGTACTGGTTGTGGGAGGGTGCTGGACTGATTCAAATGCTGGGCAGGTGGTAGCCAACTTTGAGTTTGAATTCCCGTTTGCCGTATCTCTCTTATGAGGATTCAAAGGTGGCGCTTGTTCCTCTGCCCACCAGTGGTTGGCCTCATGTAATTGATACGCGTGCACTCTTGTATTGGGACTATAGAGCAGATCGTGGCATGCTTCATCCACTCGTCCAAGTGTAAGTTTTTTTTTGAGGATCAGCCGCGTAAGCGTGCCTTTACTGGCTAATTGGGAGGCCAATAGCTTGTATATATCTTCTGTAGAAATCCCAGGAGCTACGGGGAAGCCTTCGGCAGTACGAGAATACAGGCGGATTAGACTGAGCACCTCTTTCCTAACGTAGTAACGTATGTAGACGCCCTGGGAAAGATAGCTACATGCCAAAGCAACCGCCATCACCGTTAACATTGGAAGCAAATTGTTTTGAACTGATGCAGATATTCTGCAAGAGAATGGCCTCCGAAGATCGGACCCTTTATATGTGTAGGTGTATGTAATCCCTCTTGACCTGCTTTGTTCTTTCACGAGACGTTCATGGAGCTCAGGGAATTCCACCGGGTTCGCAAGAGGCACAAACAAATAGTGCTTCTCTACCTAATGGGCATGGGGCGCACATTCGAGGCAATACTCCGAAAGTGTGAAGTTGCCTATTTCAGAAGCGTAAATCGTTAGTGGTGCCTACACACAGAAGTGGAACGGCTCAGAGCGTTTTTGCCAGATTGCTGCTTCAAGTGTCTTATCGTGTAACAGATCTGCAGGTTTGGCGGTTTCAATCTAGCTGGCGTGGACAGCCGACCTCAATATCGAATTCTGCAGCGGATTCTGGAGTTAAAAGGTGGTTAAAAAGCCAGTGGTAGACAGCTTCGTTGGCTATAGACGAAGCAATATCCGGGTGGAAATGCATCTGCCAGCGAGTAAGTCCAGGGCTGAAGCACATTGCCTTTATCGAATCACTCCACGGTTTTCTTCCCCCGTGATCTGAAGGACTGCAGAGAGGGTCTAGAGGGAGTCCGCACTCGTGCCTTCCCTGGCGCTCCCTCAGAAGTTCTGTGATCAAGTGTAGCACTTCCGCCGCTTTTGCCTTGGATGCTAAATCTTCCACGCATGTTGCGGCTGCTAGAATTTGTGGCTCCTGAGATGCATCTGTATGAAGTCTGTAGCCAGTGTTGCAGGCCATTTTGCCATCTACACAGTCCGCGTTAGCAGGGCACGGAATGCACTCTTCCTCCTGTCGGCTGTTTTCTTTTTTTGCATTTGTAGCGCTACAATAAAAAAGGTCATCGGTCTGATCTTCCAAGGCAGCGTGGAAGCTATAAGCCATGCCTTCATGAGGGCGCAATTCATCAATTCGGTATGAAAGGAAGACTGCAGCTATGACAGCAGTCTGAAGTAGGAGAGGCCAAATGGCTGCTTTCTGACGCGCCAGTGGCTTCCGTTTCTCGCTTCCCTTTGATCTGCTTTGCATGTTTTACTTCAGTCGAAAAAGCAAGCAGATTACTTCATGGCAACTTTATCTTCCTATTGGATTTCTTATCCTGCAAGGAGCAACGGGTACATACCCACAGGAGTTGTGTCAGTTTGTAGTGGATCTTGTATACCTTTTAATCACAGTGCTTGCTTCTCACTGCCTCAGAATCACATGAATAGCTAACTATAAAAGGTATCATGCAAGCGTATCTCACGAAGTGGATATAACAGCTTACTGCGACACTCTGCAAGTAGGCACGTTGTTAACTCACTGCTACTTACCTTAGATCTATCCGAGTGTAAGATATTAAGTGAACAGCCAAGTGTCCACCTAATACAGCAGGAGAGCTCTTCGAAAGGGTTGTCTCAAAGTTCCACAGATATGACGGATAGCCTGTTGATGCACTTCCCCGACTGCTTCCCAGCCATGGAAAGTAAGGCGTTTAAACATGTTTAGGCACCAGATACACTATTTTACAACCACTTCTCTTATTGACTGAATACAGTAGGTACTACGCAACCTTCTATGGGAGTGGGGCTAGATATTCTGCAAGGTGATTACAGAAAAACCTTGTGAACGTTTAGAGCAAGCCACAGTTGCACAGAGAAAATTCCGGCAATTTGCGGTGACAACGATTACAAATTCGCCCTCGTGCTCTATGAACTAGCCAGGGAACTAGGCAAAGCACAGCGCTCATTCGAATCCATGCACGTACGGCAACAAGCTGACCCTCAATTCCTTATCCATCCGGTAGACACCTCTAGTGATCAATTGCAAAACACATGTACTGTGCAATGCAGGTTAGATAATGGTTCGGCATTCGTTCTGTGCTTTCTGAATTTGCTCCTATGGGGCGAGAGAAGCCTGTATACCCAGAAAACTGCCCATCCTCAGTCGGCATACTACTAACGTAAAACACACCTCCACAATGAACAACACCTATGACGAGCTTTAAGCTCTTAACTTCCTATTGCATGGGTGTACCAAGACTTAGCACCACCCCGGTCTGCAGAGCTGAGACCGCACTTGTCCTGGCCAGTGCGATGCAGTCTGCACACGCCTGCGCATACAGCGTACCACAGGGCAAAAACAATATCGTATCCCTGTACACCCCAGGGTGGCGCCATCACAGCCTAAGTAAAGGCCAAATCGGGAATACCATATGTAATGGTTTTTGCATGTTACGAATCAGAATAAACAGGCAATGCACGTTTATCCACAGGGAACGAAGTAGAGGTAGCTACTTTGATGTACGGCAAACCTCTTGTTCGCAGCACGGCGCTAAAGGCACATGCCTAGGGACTGTAAATCGTGCAACATGTAGCGGATGAGATGTTTTAGGCTTTTATGCCAGTAGGAAGATGTATGGTATCCCCTCCTTACAAGCGATACCATCAAAAGCATAACGGGCTCGGCTATGTCATTGAGACTTTGCTCGAAGGAGGTCACTCGTGCTTGTCTGCGTTTCTAATTGCTCACTTTCCATGTATGCAGCAGCATAAAATAAAATGCGAAAGAGAAAGAATTTACAAAATTCCTTCTAGCCCACAGTTGGCGGTGCATGCAGCCTTCAGAGAGAAGTCACATAGTACGTGGCTGGCCCAGGACGCAGCGAAGAGTGAAGTTTGATCGTATTGCCTGAGTTCATCCAGGGCTTGTTTGTCTGTGGCAGTACTTACAGGTGTGCACATTGCCCAAAGTACGCTACTAGATCCCTGGCCCCACGTATGAAACAAAATTACTCCTGTGCTTTTAAAGCAGACTACGGGGCTGCCCGCCAGATGGGAGCACGAGCCAGTGAAATAGGAGGCAAACATCTGGCTTCACAACTATATAGAAGAATCGAATTTTTTGGAAAAGTAAAAATTTTGACATTGACTGTTTATCGTTTTTGAGGAAGGTATCTTCAAGGAGGTCCCAACTTGATATCTTCTAGCCGTTTTACATACATAAACGAAGGTTTGTACTTCAATCTAGCGATGAAGCTACGGAGCAATTTAGTCCTTCGGCTAGTGTTTTCATGAAATGACTGCTGTAGGCGCTTGGAGATGTGGCGACATCATTTTTGCAAAGTTCTTCGCGGATGCGTCGAGCTAAGACGTTAGCATCGGTATTGTTACGTAGTCCTGTACTCGTATAAATAATTCGGTATCTTTGCTCGTATAATATGTAGACTTACTGTATGTCTAAAAGAGTAGTCTGGTTTTTAGGTCTAAACTTTCGGGGATGCCGACAAACATCCACTATCGTTCAGCAGTGAGTTGCCCGATTGAGCATGTTGTATCGTCAGCAATCCAGTATGTAGTAACTTCGTGACTTGCCACATGTAAGTGCCTAGTGCTTCCTGGAGGCCCAACTAAGGACACTCTTGACCCTTGTGAGCGTGTACAGATAGAAGGCATGTGGCCTGAGGAACCTAGGTTTGGCCTATGAGTGCTGCTCATGCATGGATTTAGGGGTCAGTTGATCCGGTTCCCTCATGATGCTCAGCATTGTGTATAATATCGGTGCGCATTACACGTGTGGTACTAGAATCGCGGGAAGTAAAATCATCAACAGGCCCGCATAATCCATTGACAATTCGCTTATTTTGGGAGCAGACTCATGAATATGCAGCCGTGAGCGTTATGGAACCAGGCATCAAATAAGTATATAAATACTGATTCGCTTGGAAAGATAGTTGCTGAAGTGAGTATGTCGATGTAACACCATGATACTTCATAGCCGTTTCGGTAGTAGTCAATGGTGCGTTCCGGCTTGCACCAGCGTGGTCACCTACAAGACGCCTGGTGGTTCTTAACAAATAGGGAAAACGACCAAGTTCTAGCACTTATTATGACTTTGGGATGTTGCCTCTAAGGTAGAGTATACTAAGCATTAGCATTAGTGGACTCGTTGGGGAAACAGGTAGTGTACACCTAATGGTGTATTGCATGTGAACACAGACGGGAACTTCGTAGCATTTGCCGATACTGCAGCATAGAGAGCTGGATCTACGCCACTTGGAAGGCACATAGAGCATTGGTTTTGTGAATTTCGCCCCCAGAACAGATGAAGCAATGAACGATTTTGAGAGAGTCCTAAAGTCCATGTGGCAGCTCTTACGCCGATGGGGGAGCTGCTTACTCTTTTGAGAATCAATATGCGGGTTTTAAACCATATTAATCGTTGTTATGATGACGTCGCAGAAAGTCTGGTGGTGGTAGCAGCGTGAACGTTGTACGCACAGGTTTTCTCATCGGGTGCTCCCTAAGAATGGCTTCATTGTGAACCAGTAGCCTATTGCTCGGCTACGTTCCTGTGGACAGCATGCTTTGGGGCCGCCTATTGCTATGGTCAAGGGCTGTTGTTCGAAGTCTCGTGGTGAATGCATCTCGCAAATGATTTTGACTTTTCATTGTTAATCATATATTCTAGTTGCTTGTGGGACGCTCCACTAATAATAATTCAGTTACAGACTTCCGGTGCATGAAGTATCACGAAGGTCCTCAGATAACCAGCCCACTCTACCAATAGACTAAGTACTCAGCTGTGAACCACCCTTCCTAGCATCAATAGCGGACCTTCGCCACTCGCGAGCTCCCAAAGAAAAGTTGCATTGCGAATAGCCATAGCTAGCGGTGTGCTGCATATCCCAAGGTCTCCTTACAATTTGGGGTAGGGAACACTTGAGGAATGAAAGTTGCAGTTCCCCAGAACGTCGAAGGCAGTGGTGTTACTGTGGTCCTTAAAGTGCTTTCATACTCTGCACACAGAACCTCTGCTGATTCCCTTAAATTTCGCTCTCTGCAAATCGGCTCCAGCAGCCTCTTCGGACCCCATAGCAGACCGAGCTCATTTTAGCGATGGATTGCAGCGGCGGCCTATCACCCCTGAAACAAATGCCGCACCTCCACTCAAGCTTTCTCCCCTGCTTTCCTATTGCTGCTCTCCATAAACCTCGGCCCCAACGACAGCTCGCTCCTGAATGGCGCTTGCTAGTGCGTTTCAGTGCTCTCTCGAGCCTCTTTAGCATGACTAAGTGGCAATCACGTCTAGTTCGGCTACTGCGCTCATGTAGACTTTCCAGGCTTTATGAGAGTTCTGCTAACTCCTCCTAGAAACTCGTGCAGGACCTATGCCAGAAAAGGTTTTTCCTGTTTTGCAATATTAATGCAGCTACGTAATAAGCGCACATCTGTAAAATAAACCTGTGTTTCACGCTTTCAGCGAAGTGGCTGGCCCACGTCTAAATTCCGGCCCATTACGAAGCAAGGACCTGCGTAACTCGAAAGGTTCAGTACTGAAAGGAAACAGACAGCTTTATTGCAAGCTCAACACTTGAAGACTGTTCGGCCACAGAAGATCGTGTCTACGTGCGCCATTGTTTATAAGCCAAGTTGAACAATCAGGGTAATAGATTCTTTGTCCATCCAGTGGCGTCAGTGCTGCCAATGCAAGAAGCAGCTAGCCGACAAATGTTTTGATATTTGCCCGTTCTTAGGCTCAGCTGCTTTTAAAAGCGTGAGCATGTGGAATTATGACACAGTCTAGAAAGGCTTCCTCGCTCATAATCACTGAATCACTACATTGCACTCATCTTAGGGGCTGAGGGCCCTTGTAGACTGTGGGCGCGCGAAGCCCCTTGTTCCTTAGCTATTAGTGCTTAGAGCGCGCTGTCAGCTAAGAACGAAGCGGCCAGAGACTACTATTGTGGTAGATCATCTAACAGCTTTCACAATGGTTAAGCGGACAAACCAGGCTGGAGCACGGCCACCTGCACGGCTGGCGCATAGAGCCATTACTGGACTAAGAACTGCACTACTGCCGGTATGAGTGGCTTATAGAGGAGCTGTGTGCTCTATGTCTGCAAAAAAATATGAAGCTTTCTGTAGTTCTTGACGGTAGTCGCTATGTACGAAACTAGGCGTCCTTCCCTCGGGCATGCTCTGATTCTGATAACCGGGGTTCGTCTGCGGTTGTTGCTTGAAAGTTTCTCAACTATATCTGGAGCATTATCAGCCATTAGAGCTGTGCTCAGGCGCCAGCAAGTATCTCGCTTCACACTTTTTCTTGTCTCCTCTAGGGCACAGAAATCAACTGTGCTGCATGCAGTGATTGTGTTGGAATGCAGGTAGTGCTCTGAGGCGGGGAGGTGCTACTAAACTATCATGTATATTGCTTTCCTTTTATGCGTTTTGTTTCCCTTCTCTTGTCCTATACTAGGTCACTAATACATTGCAGCCCACTGAAGCGCTCGAGGGAGCGCACCGCCACAGTCGTGTTGGTTTGGTCTATTGTTCGTTGTTGGCTAGCGTCTATCTTTCTTCCCTCCTGGTTCTGTTCACGAGTGTACGCCTACTTTGCCGCTGTTCCTTGCATTCAGATTTCGCTTTTTTGCCTGCGGAATGGCAAAACGACAGATTGTCGCACTGTTCTTTCCGAAGCTGGATTGGTTGGACAGATGTAGAAATTTATGCGGAGCGTTTTAAACTGGGCAGTAGATAAACCGAGGCTAAGGTACCTCTAGGCCCCATCTCGTACAAAATCTGTATTGAACTACACATTTGTACAGAGCTTATCAATTGGCCCGTCTGTTCCGATGTCGCTTTCGTTGCGGCATATACATAGCTCCGGAGATGAGTATAAGTACTTTACGTGTGTGAACTAGCTGTGGTGTGCAATTGGCTGTGCATACTCAGACTGTTTCGAAAGCGCAGCAGCTCTATTCCTCGCTGTCCCTTGCTCCTCATGTCGGAGCCTTGATGGGTGAGGACACCGAAAGGAGGAGTTGATTTGAGAAGAACACTCAGCAACTTTTTTTTGAGCAAATACTGGATTTGGTCCCTTCCCACCAAGGTCGTACATGGAGCGTTACAAAGTCTGTGCGTAACTTTAGCGCAAATAACTTTCCGCTCAGCAGCAGACCCGCAGATATGGCCATTTGGAAAACGAGTTGCCGTTAATAGATCCCTTCTGCGTAGGACCTGATGTGAATGCTAATATGGAGCGTGGCATGGACAGGTATTCAGGCTACCATTGGGACTAAGCCTTGTTTCTAGGGGGTTTCGTGATCCCTCTGGACCAGGGCTTCTGCTTCATAGGCTATGATTCATAAATTTCTCACAAATCGCTAATTTCATTCATGTAACTTGGTGCTGCACCCCACACTTACGGACCACAAAGGGCCCCGGCTTGGCAGTTGCGAACACGGAAATAGAAGAAATTCAAGCGCGGCCACCTGCACAACTTGCATCAAAGCTATTTTTGTGGTGGGTACACCGCCACGCTTAGCCCGAATGTGAAGATCCTGTGTTACGAGGAGCTAATCAGTGCTCCAAAGGAGCAGCCAACTGTATGCACGGTCAAAAGTCAGAAAATGTAGGGCCGTATACCAAGGCTGCTCGGTGCAGTGTTCATAAAAACTAAGTTAAAGCCTGAAGACTAATCTTTCACACTGTCTCAATCAGCTCTGGTATCGCACGAGCCACAAAAGCCTTGCTGAAAATTGGTGTATTGCTGCCTGCTCGCTCTGCAAGCCTTCCGTTGTTCAGCTTAGTGCCACTCTTGACCACTGTGACGAGCTGTATGAAAATGCAACATAGTTTAAAATAATAATGTTCCTAAGTGTTATAGTGACGTGACCTCCTAATAAGCCTTTGGTGCAGGCAGCCACACACCTGCCCTATCCTTTCAGGGCTAAGCGCCCTCTCTGCCAAAGCTCCTACAAAGGTTTTCATTTTCAAGTATAATGCTTAAGGCGTGCAATCATCAGTAGAGAAAGCAGCTGGAGTGGCTATTGTAGGGTCACTTTACTAAATAAGAGAAACTTACTATGGCGTCGCGGTAAGGCAGTTTGAGACCGAACGAAGGCGCATCAGCGAGCTTCAGCTCAAGAAGATATTTTGTAGGTTCAGATATGCGCAGCTAGTCATTGATGATACCTAGCTTACTACCTAGCGTATATGTGTGGCCTCTGGCATTTGTGATGCTCAGGCTAGTAGCGTAGTTCCATAATTCTGAAAGCAGGCACTCTTGTCAAGTTTTGCGTGTTGTGCTATTCTAGCGTATCTACAAACGTTTTCCTCAACTAAAAAGATAAATATTGTACTTCCTTCTTGGTTTTCACCCATAGCTCAATCTTGAGTAGACCGCGGATCTAAAGGACAAATAGCTTGTACTGTATGATAGCTTCAATCATCTCAGGGCTGGCAAGCCAGAAGCATGGCAGCGAAACGTATTGCTTTTGTCGGACCCATCACCGAAAGGTGTGCTTATTACACCAACAAAATGACAAACCCACTATTCTTGCTACACTCAACCATTTGTGGCCTGAGCCGCTTTTTTGGGTCGCTTACTAGCAGTAGGAAGCCGCCGGTACTGGGTTGACCACTGATTTAAGGACTCGTGCTGCGGAGAGGCTGTCTTTAGAAGAGCGCATTGAAAATCTTCCTCCACAATTGCGTTTGTCCTACTCTTCGTAAGCTACAACTTGCTTGCTTCACGTGTGCCTGAAGCCCCTGCTATTACGGCTGATCCAGTCCCATTTCCTCCTGCACATTCGTTTCGCATGGCGTCGTTGCTGCCGTTAGCTCATCAGAGGTAACCTCCCGGCCATTAATCCATTGAAGACGTGGAAGGACCTTTAATATTTCAGACCTAAACTGGTCGTCTCCAGCACTGGTGCCCAGAGGGGAAAGGCACACTTCTTTAAGCATAGGGAGAGAAACGAGAACCTTTAGTTGCTCAGAAGGAAGAGCGCAACCTTCGAGGTCCAGGGTTTTAATTTGGGGGAACTTTTCCAGTGGAAGCAGCTGCTGTATCCGCGTATGCGACAGATATAGTGAAGTTAGGGTGTCTGAAAGCGGTAAGCAGTCTAAACTCTCTAAGGGTGTTCCTCTAAGGCTTAAATGAGTAAGTGAGGGGGGATACACAAACCCCGTTAAAGTGGTTATGGGGTTTGCATCGAGTGATAGACGCGTGAGCCGCTGAAGTGGCAGGGTAGGGGCTTTACTTATCCTGTTGTTACTAAGGTTAAGAAGCGACAGGTATGGGAGCGCCCCTGGGCTCGCTAGACACGACACATCTTCAATATTGTTCTCTGCTGCATTCAGGGAAAGAAGATTCGGCAGTCTTGAGAACGCAGTAAGATTGCTTATTTTGTTACCTGATATATCAATATATCTGAGGTGCACGTAGTGTTGCAGAGCATCTGGTAAACTGGTTACTCCCTTTCCACAGCAAATCAGTCTAGTGAATGCATAGCCACTTCCGTCCACGGTGCGCGAGACATCCCTAAGCGCCCTATTAAGTACTTCACCATTCAGTGCAACTTCTGCATCTGCTGCACCAGACGTTTTGCCGCCCTCCTTAGCCTTTTCTTCCTTTCTCATGCCTGCTACAGCGAAAAACCCTTTGCACCCTTTACTGCAGACCCGGTTATCAGGATGTCTGTGGCGGCCACAAGGCGAAATAAATTGCCTTTACTGCGCTCCCTTCTTTGTATGCATGATGGATGCATAAACATGTGGGGCTTTGTCTTCAGAATAATCAAGATTTATAAATTTAGCTCATTTTCACTGTTTCTTCTAAGATTTCCTTGGTGTTTAACGCCAAGCAATAGGGTAGGAGAGTGCACTGGCTTCTACGAGACGCGTCTTTGAAGGACAAATAGAGGATAGACTGCATCTTCTTGTAGCACTCGAAAATTTTCGTTTTCTCGATCTCGAAATTTCCAGATACAGTAAAAACAAAGTGCGCCGTTCGTTGTCTTGCTAAATATAATGTTTTAGATGCATGCGACTCTTGAGGAGCCCCGTTTTTTGCTTAGGCATGCATACATCTGGCGGGCAGCCCCAAGGTCCTTCTAGAACAGAGCTACTCTGGTTTGAAATGCCAACGCACATATTTGTTAGTGTAAACTTAGCATCTAGAGTGTGTTACATCACCACCACATTGTATGACGCGTAGCTACAGTATCACGTAGAGCATGTCAGTTTTCCATTGCACGTAAAACACTTCAACACAGCTATATCAACTGCAAAGATATTTCACCACTTGCCGTAGGTTGCATGAATCAACGAAGGGTCTACATATCACGCTTCCTCCGAGTAAAAAGCAAAGCGCGACAGGGAGTGGCAACCTTCGAAACCGATGTCATTTATGCGCTTTAGAAATGGACAGGCAGCAGCGGCACAGTTCCGTTGCCTCTACAAAGAAGGCTGGGCAAAGTGGATCAGCCTTCGTGTCATGTTGCACTTTCATTGCACTTCATCAAACTACAGAGTTAATAACAACGGTTGCCACTATTTATGCTCTATTCGGCAATGATATAAAACTGTGGGCTACGCCGGTGAGTGCTGACTTGCCATTCGACATAATTGCTATCCTCTGCTTGGTTATATTTGCCGCGGAAATCTTCGTTAGCTGCGTAGGCAAGGACAATTACACGTGGCACACGTTTTTCTGGTTTGATTTGGTTTCAACCGGAACACTCGTTCTAGATTTATCATGGACATACTACGAAATGTACCTGGTAGTCGAAGAGAACTCAGACGTGGCGTCTAACGATGTAATGCAGGTGTCTCGTGCTGGAAAGGCAGGCTCCCAGGTGGCTAGGGTGCTTAGGGTGATCCGCTTAGTTCGACTAATCAGAGTAGCAAAGCTATACAAAACCCTGGCGCTGCGCTTTCAAGTAAAAGACGAGTCTCCTATACAGCAAGACATGTTTCTGGAGCCTGGTGACCGCGCACCTGACGATGTCGTTATAGAAGAAGAAGCGGACCCTACTGACGATGGTGCCGAATATGACAGCAAAATCGGAAAAGAGCTTACTGACAGGACTACTAGGAAAGTTATATATATTATCCTTGCGATGACCATTGTGCTGCCATTTTTGTCTGAAGAACAATATGTTTCGCGTACAAGCTCTGAACAATCAGGACTAGACAGTGTTGCGGAGTCTGCCACAGCCGCAAAGCGGTACAATACGGCTCCCTGGTGGAGGATGTATTCCTCGAATGTAATTTATTATATCAACTACCACCGAAAAAACGGACTAGGATACGTCCAAGGGGAAGTAAACCCGGCGTCTTTAGTTTACATGGAACTACCCCTGCCGCTTTCCCATGTAACTGAGTCAGCTGGTCGAGTTTTCGTGGACCTTGCTTGTCTAGGGTTCAAGAGCTGTGACCACCCGTTGGAGCTGCCTCCTGATCGCGCTACTAATCTGTTACTGGCCACTGCAATAAACGGCACAATGCTTACCGACGAACTGGAATCGGTCGACTCGTTGAGGCCAAGTGAAAGGGAATTTATATCCTCAGCATTTTGTACGGGGCCCTCAGAAGAAGTTGCAGGGCCTTTAGAAACACAGAAGGCATCTTCTTGTGTTGATGAAAATATCGTAGTCTTCAAGGCTGTGTACGATAAGCGCGAACTATCTCACCTGGAATCTGCCCTGAGCATCCTCAAAACGGTGTTCGTCTGTCTGACTATGGTTATTGGAACAGTGGCGATCAACCATGACATCAACACGCTGATTTTACGACCAATAGAGCGAATGATTACGAAGATGAACAAAATTAGAAATAACCCCCTTGCTGCTACCAATATGAATGCAGAAGGAGATGAAGCTCAGGCTGAAGAAAGAGCAGACAGCGCAACAGGCGACCCACTGCAGGTTTTGAAAACTTTAATAGGAGGTAAGGCTACCAAGATACAAAAAGAAAATTACGAAACAGCCATCTTGGAAAAAACGATTATAAAGATTGGCGGCCTGCTAGCGCTAGGCTTTGGAGAAGCTGGGGCGGAAATAATTGCCAAAAATATGCATACTGCAGATGGCAACATCAACGCAATGATAGAGGGGCGCAAAATGGAAGCAATATTTGGATTTTGCGATATAAGAAATTTTACAGATGCAACGGAGATCTTGAAGGAGAAAGTTATGGTATTTGTTAATCAGATCGCAGAGATCGTACATGGCACCGTGGACCAGTTCTCAGGGAGCGCAAACAAAAATATTGGGGACGCATTTCTCCTTGTTTGGAAGTTTCCAGAAAGGGAGATTGCAGACGGGGTGAAAGAGCAGATCATTGACACTGTCACAAGCAATAAACTGGCAGACATGGCCTTGATGTCGTTCGTCAAAGTTGTGGCGGGAATCAACAAGTCGTACACTTTGTCGGAATACAGAGACATCCCAGAAATTATTGAACGGATGGGAACGGGTTGGAAGGTTAAAATGGGGTTTGGACTCCATGTAGGCTGGGCCATTGAGGGCGCGATTGGATCAGAATACAAAATAGACGCATCTTATTTGTCTCCAAATGTCAACATGGCGTCCAGGCTAGAAGCAGCAACAAAGCAATATGGAGTGTCAATCCTCATATCATCTGACCTCTACGACATTATGTCTCCACAGACACAGACGTATTGTCGTCAAATAGATCGGGCAACCGTGAAGGGCTCAAAGGTGCCACTAGGTCTCTACACCGTTGACTTAGATCCCGGAAGACTGCAAGTTCCAGCAAGAAATCCCGTAACTGTTACCTCCAAAAACACTGTTTTCCTTCAAAGACAACAGCGGCTTCGCGAAAAGCATAAACTATGGTCCAGTCGTACATCGATATCCGCAATGTTCGAGACTGATCCCGATATCGTTTCAATGCGTGAACATTTGACTAAAGAGTTTTTGGGTACATTTCGCTCAGGCTTCAGACACTATGAGGCTGGTGAGTGGTATACCGCGAGGGAAATATTTGTCCGTACACAGTATATGCTAGGTGTAGAAGACGGTCCGTCTACTGTGCTCCTGCATTTCATGAGTACCAAAAACTACGTTGCACCAGAGGACTGGGCAGGATTCCGCGAGCTCATTGAAAAATAGCTTGATTTTCTTTGCGGCCTTACTGGACATTTTTAAATATATCGTGAGGATGGATAGTGCAAAACTTATGACACTTTCGGCACTACATGCCTTGATGTAGGGACGTACAAGCTTGCCACAACCGGTCATTGCTAGCTTATATCAATGCTAGCTATGGACCCTTATAAATACACTGAATTGTCAGATGAAACCATGCACTGCATTGTTTCTGTGTGGCACTGCTTGTAGAGTTATGCGTGCCATGCATCGAAGGGGTACCGATCAGCTGAGTCTTTCATGATTGCAGGTTTCAGTGTCCTTTATCGAGCCTAATCTTACCTCATGTGGCAGTATGTCCTGATCCATGATCTCTCGCTTAAGTCTATGAATCCTTACTTAAATATGATGTTGTTCTTGTGTGGTTATCAATTGTCAACAAAATGCTTATGTGCAAATCATCACAATTAATATGAAAAGTAAAGTCAGTTGTATACCGTCATTATAGTACACAGCAATTTCTCTCTCAGTCGATGGTATAATGAGCTACAAAATAATCACCCTTCCACCATCTTTCCTCGTACCAGAAGACGCGCGCCCCAAGGCGACGTACGCCCTTAGGCCAAAAGTGAGCTCGGCCCCCAAAGAAGCTGCTTTACAGATGCATGGCTGTGCACTGGTAGAAAAGGCTTTTGCCTGCCTAGAATAATTGTAAGGAACGATATTGTTTCAGACCGTGCTATATTTGCATTTGTGTCCGATGGCTACGGTGAACAATGTAAGCAAGCTGAACGGTAAGCGAGGTCGACGAATGATCAAGCAACAAAAATCTGAGCTGTTTCCTGCGATTTAAGATAATAAAAGCAGTTACATTCACCGTAGTGAACTATTTACTATAATCATAGCCGTAAGTGAGCTACTTGTACCTAGGCGTGCTCTTACCTGCCTACACTATTTTTCTGCTGCAGAAAGAAGTTCCCTGGGGAGCCTTCGAGTAGTGGGTTTCAACGCCAACGCCAAATCCAACGATAAGTTAATGTTTGGCTGATAACCAAATATAGCATGCAATTTACTAGAGTTGATTCGAATGTGCTATGTTGGTGAAATATGAAGACCAGCCACCATATAGTATGGCTTGTTGCAACGCTACATGACCTGGTGGCCAAAAGAGCTGTGGGGCAACGGCCCTTGCAGTCTCACGCTCTCGACGCGCCAGGCTTCCTGTGAGACCCTTTGGTTTTACGTCTTGAAGGGTGTAAAGGCATGCTATAAGGCAAAACTTGAACTATGTCTGTTTTGGCTAGAGTGTACAAGCAGGAGTCTGCACATTAAATGCTCGAGGTGCTCGCCAGGCTCCATTGTACTCTGCTGTAGGACTTAGAGGGATGACTTACAAGCCTACTGTCAGGGATAGGAAAGCAAGCCACCTGTATCCCAGCACGCAAAGTGCTTCAACGACTGGGACGATGATTCTAAACATATCAGGGCACAATAAAGGAGCCAGGCGTGTACTGGCTGTACTCAGCTCAGGCACTTCATATTACACTAGCTATGTATAAATAAGGATTACTCGACTGATCGCTGCCTGATTCGGATGCGATTACGTCTCATTTTGTTGCAGGGAAGTCTGGGTTCAATTGAAAAAAGCTAGTGGTGTCTGTGAGTGCTCGGTGCGTTTTACGCGTAACTCGCAGTAGGTTCTGAGAGTGTTTCGAGGATGCAGCAACGCGCGCACATACAATTTCTCTTTCCCGTCATGCCCTAGCCCTAAGGATCAATAACAGGGAAACAGCGAAGGCCTTCTAGATTGACACTGATAATTTCTCTCATGTACAACTCTATGGTTTCCTGTGGCTGTTTCAGGGTGATCCATTGGCTGTGAAGGCAGAAGCGTGCCATGTTTCCTCACAGCAATTATATGGATTTGATCAAGGCGCTCAAGAACTCAGTAATCGGCTTTTTGGCACCACTCTGACAGAAACGCTATTTGGCAATGGAATATGAGGTCAGTGGGATGCCTGTTGGGGCGGCAGAGGACAACGTGCAAGCTCATATGGCAACGGTAGCTCCACATTTGAAAGCGTAGCCTAATTCTTCGGCCATAAAATGTTAGTAGATGCCTCGCTGAGAATATGGCAGCCAAAAAAGCTAAAAATTAGTGAGGAAGGACGACTGCTCGCGAATGTCATTTGTTGGTTGGCGATGTCCCGCGCTTCGTACCCTTAGATAGAAGAAACAAATGTTTTTTGCAACACATGTATTAGAGAAACAAAAACTTCATTGCTGACATTATTTATATAAAGAAGCTATTTGCCTCCTGGTGCCATCACAGTTCAAGAGTTTGTACATGTTCAGATCATCGGTCTATGCCAAAATCATCTTAACAATAAACTTTGGGGGAACTGGTTAAGCAGAAGCAGATGAATGTTCTCGAAGACCGGTATCTCGTAAAGCAACAGACTTTGGTATGTAGAAGCCGTGCCCTAGACTAGTAGCTGGTCTACTGCTTACTTAACACAGATTTGTGGAGAACGCCGCGTTTCTGGGGACAGGATGGACAGCGGCTCTGCAAATAACAACCGACCGGTGGGACTTCCACAGACAATAGAAGGCCAGGGTGTAGCAGCAAAGGAACGCAGTTCTCTCCTCGTTAACTTAGAACGAAGAGCCAAGTCGGCATGTAGAACTTATGGATCCGACGGCTATCAGCCGGACCTCGCATGCAGTCTACGGTGAACGATACACAGCAGCCGGAGAAAGCCCGCTTTTTAAATGGAATTCTAGTGCTTAAATAGTCAGAAGTGGCTTCGCGACACCATTAGTGGTCCGAATAGCCGTCCTCACAACCCACACCGAGAACGCCAAAAGCCAGTGCACAGCACATTTTAGCCCCCGTCAACAGCTCACTCTCCGAAGAGCTATAGCTGGTGAATTGCTGCTAGGCCCAGAGTCTCCTCAAAATAGGATGAAACACGCTCATGGAATGGCATGCGCAGTTTCCGCAACAGTCGTAGGTAGCCATGCACGCTGCTACCCTTTTAATTTCTTAGTCGGTGTCCGGTGCTTTATACTTTCTTGGCTTTACTCCACGAAGTGCTCATAGCGTATCCATTAGGATCTCCGGTGCAAAATGCCCTGAAATATGACAAGCTTTCCTAGGTCTTCACTCATTGCTTACTTGTCCCCATGATACAAATGAAAAGATGCAAACGAAGTAGTGCCCTTAACACGCTGTTCACACTTTTCATTGTGAGGTGCAAATGACTTGCTCCGGGCTCCGAGTACCAGTGGGAACCTAATACTGCGCGAATATGTGGGTCAGCTCAAGCGGCTCTCCACAAAGCCCCAAGCATCAAGCCTCCTGAGAGGTTTTTCAAAACAATGCCTACTATTTGAATTTATGCTGAAGAAAGCTGATATGGTCAACTTTAAGATATCAAGCTCTCCATGACTTCATAGAACTCAGTAAGCAACCCACACCGCCAGCGACTCTTTCAAGCAGAGCATAACACGCATTTTTCTACAAAACTAGCCATAGCTTATTCCTTAAACACACCATGATGCTGGAACTTACAATCTTAAGGGCTTACAAACACACAGTCGTGCAGCAGTAAAAAATAAGTAACACGAGACAAGGCCATGGCTAACGCCGCCTCTCGCAGTTAAAGGCACGTTGTACATCCTCTCTTGGCTGCCCTCGCTGTGAAAAAAATTTGACACGGCTTTTGCACACACTGAGGGGCTCGGCCTTTCCAATTTTCAGAGGTGACTTTGACCGGAAGCCAGCCCCAAGGCTCACTAACGCATGCATGTTTCTGGCAGCTAACACCCGAATTTGTCTCATCGTAGCTGCATCAATCTTTTTCTGATCATATCATTCAATGACTAATTCTACCATTAGTAAATCGTTTGTATATGGAAGGTATAGCTCCACATTAACACGCGAAACACGCTGACAGTTTATTCCACGCAAGACCAGAAGTATTTGCACTCCTTCAGATTGTTCCACTCTCATGATCTTTCCACATTACAACGAAAATTCCGAACGCGGAGAATAGCGCTAACAAGCGCTTAGGGAAAGCAGGAAGCCCGTGCGGATTATTCTCTAGGAGAGTCAGGAACCCAAGCTTGTTCAAATAGCGCTCCAAAACTCAAAACGATGTGGATCCTTACTTGGCATCAGTCCCCTAATTGTAGAACGACTAAGGTATTTCTCTGCAACCATGATCTTGCCTGTTCCTGCAATTATGCTGAAAAAAGCGGGCTCCCCAACATCTCCAATATCGTGAGAACTCCCGATGAGCAATATGCTGTATGCTATTATGTTTAGTCTTCTTGAGTATGATCTCTGAAGAGATATGCATTATAGTCACAAAAGGCATTTTCGCTTCTTTATTTGGGTAAGTAAGGGACAGTCAGGCCATCGTCGCATTACGTCCTGCTTTCCTACAAGCCCTGCGTAGTATTTATTTCCCGAGCTACCTATCCATCATTCTGTTCAATTTGCTATCTACGTGAATCCCTCGCTCGCGTCCTTCTTTAAGTCAGCTTTACTTTGCGTTTAAGTGAGGCATTCTCAATAATCCACGGGGAGAAAGGAGTAGCAAGATATGATTTAGCACTACCGGCGAATTGTGCTAGCACTTTCGTCACCGCGGAGTTATGCACACGTCCAAGTTTTAAGAGAAACTCTTTTTACCATGAAGATGACACGGACGGCTCCGGAGTGTTTCCGTACATACTTGGAGTTGCAGTCATCAGGTTGCCCACGAGATGTGGAACTCTTTAGTCACCTCGATCTTCTAGAAAAGCGGGGGCCCTCATTCTCCCCGGCAACATACTCGACTAATAAGCCATGCAATGCAAAGGAATCGGATCGATTCAGATGGAAATCCTGGTTTTCTTCATGTAAAGGAGATCTGGTGGCTGTAGGTCCTACCACCTCATCGAATGCCCTTGAGACTGGCGCCTGCAGTAGCACTCCCAAGTGTCCCTGGCTTAGTAGTTTGACTCAACGTGGCACA